GAATGTAGCGGCAGAAACAATCACTTCGTTCCACTTTGAATAAAAGGGTTTTTGCAGAGTTTGGTTTGATTGAGCAGCTTCCTTCGGTAATCTTCTGAGGTTCTGATTCACTCGACATGACTTGGAATTCCGTCGGGGGGGCAAAACCGAACGTCGTTTTGGGGGAAAAGGAGGAAGGAATTGTCAAACCAAAAAGCACCATTTCCTTTCCGTGATCTCAGCTGCAGGTGGAGGCTCTTGGACTATCCTAAGTCACACACGTAGGCCTATTCGTTCACACGGCAGGGAAGCCACGTAGGCAGCTGTTGCGTCTAGCGCCTTACAGGAGAATCTAGCCGACACATGGAGGTATGCTATGACACGACAAAACTCAACACTACACGATATTATCATTTCTTGTGGTTGAAACTAATTTCCTCTTTATCAAAACAGTCTTTCATTGCTTTATATTACACTGAACGAATGTACACTTTACATCCATAAAATGTAGGTCTAGCTATATACATTTATTCCGATATGACTATGCTATTCTTTTTCAAAACATTATGTCTTAACTTCAGTTGATATAAAAATATACACCTGCGACATATTGGAACTAAATTTATATTATTTTCCTATTTACACATCTCCTTGGATGAAGCCATGTTTAGAAATGCATCCTGTACACTTATTAATGCTAAGTCAACCGATATATAGGTCTATGCGGGTCTTTCATTAACGATATTTCATAAATATAATGGTAATAGATATGCTGGACCCTCTATACGTTTAGAACTCTTCTTGACCGCTGACAGTCGTCGTGTGATCGTATTTACAGTATGGAGTTCATGCCAGGAGACTTTCCACGGGTTACATTTTTTTGTTTTTTTGTTTTTTTGGTTTCCATTTTTCATCTACAAAGGTCTTCGCGTGACGGACGCTCACACCTCGAAACGAATGCGTAATATATACACAGTGATAATGCTTGTATACACAGATACACACAGAGTACATCGCACCATTCACCGTCGACCGGGCCCGGCCTCGCAGGGGTGGGGGCCCAGTCCTCTCAGCGGACCTTCCCCGGGCGGTACCTCTGGGCCTTCCTGCCGAAGAGGATCCTCTTGAAGGCCTCTCTGAACTCCGGGCTGAAGATGGTGTAGATGATGGGGTTGAGGGTGGAGTTGAAGTAGCCGAGCCAGAGGAAGATGGAGAACATGAGGTCGGAGAAGTAGCATCCGGGGCAGATGGACATGAGCAGCGCCGTGACGAAGAAGGGCAGCCAACACACCACGAAGGCGCCCGTGATGATGGCCAGCGTCTTGGCGGCCTTCTTCTCCCTCTTGGCCTCCAGGGTTTCCTTCTTGGTCTTCTTCGGGGGTTCCTTGGGCAGCATCTCCAGTCTGGACACCTCGCTCACGTGGGAGGACACGGACACCGCCCCGTTGTTGGAGATTTTGTCGGGCGAGCCGCTGTTGACGGTGGTGAAGGCGGTGGTCTGGTGCTCCGTCACGCCGTTGGGCTTGGGCTCGCCTCCGCCACCGCCGCCGCCTCTGCTGGCCTGGGGGGAGGAGACGCTGGGTTAGGCTCAAGGGACAGCGGTTTTGGAACAGAGGGTGGGCTTGGGAGACAGAGATGGGGATATAATAGCACGTAGATTTTATGAAAGGAATAGGGCGGATGTGGTGGTAGAAGTGGTGGTGGTGGTGGTTGGGGGGGGGGAGGGACACGAATGATCGAGCAAAGCAAAGTTGACTGTCGTAGAAATGGCATCTGGCAAAGACCAGTTTATAATCATAGCAATACTCTTAATGGTGAAAACATGGCAACAGTAAATTTAAATCATTACTATCACATCAAAGAAATTATCCTAATTGACATATAAGAGACATCACACAGCAATAATTGCAGCATGAGAAGTCACACACCCAAATCATGAACACATGTACCAATGGCAGCAATTAACTGACACTTCCACATCAAACCAACAGAACGACATGGATAAAATAAATAAATTAATAAAACAAAATAAATAAATACATAAATAAATAACTAAAAAATAAATAGATAAAATGAATAAAATAAATAATTAAAATGTAATTAGAACAACACCACACCAATGGACGACCCAAACTCAACGTAATTAAGATTTCATACCACAAATAAAGAGGGAGGCGGGTCTACACCCCCCCCCCCTCTCCCCTCTCCTACCACCCCCTTCTCCCCCTTCCCCCCGCTCTCCCCCCTCCCACCCCCTTCCCCCCCTCTCTCCACCCCCGTTCTCCCCTCTCCCCCCCTGCCCACCTTCCACACAGACACATATGCCTCCCCCTCGCGTGCGGATTAAAACCTTGTGTACCCGCGTGTGTTCTCCTTTGTCCACATAATGGCCTTTGCACGGAAGCTCCCCCGGTATTAAAAGCCCCGCAAAAATGTATCCTAAATGCCCCCTAAATGCCCGCCATTCTCGGCATTAGAAGGGAGATTTTATTACGGGGAAACTCAAGTGCATCCACCGTCATATTTCGGTAATTTTGTCACGCTCTTCATCATATCCCAAGGGGGGGGGGGACGAAATGCAGGAAAAAAAGGTAGTAGAGAAAGATGAATAATATAAAAAGAAAATAAACAAGATTTTCGACGAGTATTATGAGTTAGCAATCCGGTGTCAAAGGCTTGTAGTAATGTAAACGAAGTGATAGAAATGGCGAAGAATTATTCTCTTTATGAATTCATGCGCAGTATTTAGAGCATGCACACTTACTATGCGGTGAGTGTGAGTGTGAGTGTGAGTGTGAGTGTGAGTGTGAGTGTGAGTGTGAGTGTGTGAGTGTGTGTGTGTGTGTGTGTGTTGTGTGTGTGTGTGTGTGTGTGTGTGTGTGTGTGTGTGTGTGTGTGTGTGTGTGTGTGTGTGTGTGTGTGTGTGTGTGTGTGTGTGTGTGTGTGGTGTGCATGTGGGTATGTGAATCCTTGCCTGTGCTTGAGTATGCGTAGTGTGCAACTATAAAATATAACTACAGTTAATACATCGCAGCAAAAACAAATTTCTATAAAGGAATTTAAATCTGTTCAGCTGTACTATTGCCTTTAACTTATCTTCAAAAAATATATATTTACGTTAAGTTATGAACCATCTTCCCAATCCTTCAAAAGTATCTAAAGCATCCCTTCTATCCAAATCTATATATATATATACATATATATATATGTATATATATATATATATATACATATATACATATATATAATTTTTTTTCTTTCTTTCTTTCTTTTTTTTTAAGTGAAATTCCCAAAGCACGCTCAACATGCCACAGTTGCAACCGCAGCACGATACTCGAGTGCCGCTGCCACACAGCTGTTGCCTCTGTCCATATTGCAAATACGAGCCTCAATAGCCTTGCATTCATGGCACACTTTTATCTTAACCATCGCCAGTGAGCCTCTGTTTGTTTGTTTGGTTTCACAAGCAGAGGGCGCACTTTGTTTTTGTTTTTCTTATCATTATTTTTTGTTTTTGTTTTTGGTTTTCTTATTATTCTTTGTCTTTTGGTTTGGGTTTTGGTTGTCTTGTCATTATTTTTGTGTTTTTTTTGTCGTTATTCTTATCATTATTTTTTGTTTTTGTTTTTTCTTATAAATTATTTTTTGTTTTTTGTTTTTGTTTTTCTTATCATTATTTTTTGTTTTTGGTTTTCTCATCATTATTTTTTTTCTTATCATTATTATCACTTTTTGTTTTTGTTTTTCTTAACTTACTACTGAATTAAGGCCAATGTGTATTCAAGGGCGAGCGTCCCTCCAAAGCGATTTAGCGAAGATCTGCCTCATATTTTTAATTGTTTCATTATATGTACCAACTTTATCCTCTGGTCTGCGAATTCATTCTTTTTGATCCACTCAAAGCTCTGAACATTTACAAAATAGGCAAGTGTTGTTTAGCGTTATATTGTTGTTTAAATGAACACTCAAATCCGGTAATTTTGCTATATAAAGTCTCTAGGAAAAAAAATTAACAACAATGTATTAGATAAGAAAAACAGACAAAATAAGAGAAAAGAAAGAATAATAACATTCATACTCATACAAGGAAATCTGTCTCACATCTCACACTAATTCTTAACGAAAACAAACAAGTAAAATCAATGAAACGTGACCAAAAAAGAAACAAAACCGAAGCAATAATAATAACGATAATAATGATAATGATAATAATAATGATAATAATAATAATAATAATAATAATAATAATAATAATAATAATAATAATAATAATAATAATAATAATAATAATAATAATAACAATAAAACAGCAGCAACCCCAATCCTCTCCCTCCACTCCTCTCGTCCCTTACCTTCGCCCGGTTATTATTCCCCTTCTTCTTCGCCTCCTTCTTCTCCCCCGGGCGGTTCTTGTGGATCCTCTTCCGCGCCGCCTGGAAGATCTTCCAGTAGAGGATCAAGATGGCGGTGAGGGGCACGTAGAAGGTGGCCATCGTGGCGAAGATCTGGTAGCCGACGTCCTGGGAGACGAGACACTTCTTGTGCTGGTTGACCCGCACCAGGAAGTCGGGGTCCTTCCAGCCGAAGAGGGGCGCTATGGACACCACCACCGCCGTCAGCCACACCAGCAGGATCATGGTGCCGATGCGGGTGCCGTTCCGGGAGTGGATGTAGTCGACCTGCGTGACCGCCCAGTACCTGGCGAAGGAGGGGCGGGTGAGTGTGGCGAAGGAGGGGCGTGTGAGTGGGTTGCGGGAGTTACCAGGGCCTCTGCGGCGAAGGGAGAGGCCGCTGGGCTGTCTGGCGAAGGGAGGACATCTTTAAACATCCTGAAATGACTGGCTTAAACTTTAGAGAAAATCCTTGAATTATAAACTTAAACTATATCCTTAAATATCAAGCTTAAACAACAGCTTTAAGTATCCTCACACAGCATCTCAAACAAAACCCTTAAAAAGCATCAACATTCCTTAAAAAAAAAAAAAAATCAAACAACATCCTTACACATCATTATCCAGCAT